CGCTGGGGGCCTGGCGCTGGGGCTGCACCCCGGAGGCGCTCAGGGGGGCGCGGGGCTCCCGGCGGCGCAGGCGGCGCTCTATGGCCACCCTGTCTACGGCTACTCGGCGGCGGCGGCAGCGGCGGCCCTCGCCGGCCAGCACCCCGCGCTGTCCTACTCGTACCCGCAGGTGCAAGGTGCGCATCCCGCACACCCCGCCGACCCCATCAAGCTGGGCGCCAGCGGCTTCCCGCTGGACCAGTGGCTGCGCGCTTCCACCGCGGGCATGATCCTGCCCAAGATGCCGGATTTCAACTGTGAGTACCGAGCCGCCGGTCCCGGGGCCGCGCCTCCCCTGCGCCTGGGCTCTTGGCCCCGCGCTAGCGCGCGGGGAAGCGCGGCGCAGCCCCCGGCTAACTGCCTGAGTGGGTGGCCACGAACGATCAAGATGGCCACGCGCAGGCGGGCCTTCTCTTCCTTTCGCAGCGGGAAGGGGCAGCTGGAGGTGTGAGACTGAAATGTAATGATTAACCTGCAGGCTGCAGGAGGAAGTGGCGAGGAAGGAGAGGCGTGGAGCCCTGGGAACGAGGGTCATGGACCCCCACCCCATACACGCAGTATGCATCACTGGGCAAAGGAGCTTGGCCTGGGTTCCCGTTTTTGGGTGCTAGACGGACCCCCTCCCTCCCAGGAAAGGAGAGGTTCACTGCTACCAGGCTGTGTTCCTGCAATCCCTGGCCCTAGCCAGGCCCTGCCTTCCTAGGGAAGGCCATGGGGGTCCCCTGTGGTGCCCACAAGGCCTGGGTCTCAGGCTGAGGAGCAGGTGACTGCCCCAGAAGCCAAGGCACGAGGAGGCATTCCAGGAGATGGGAGCCTGGAGGGGCCACCCAACCCCAAAGCAGGGCAGCTGAGCTGCAGGGAACCCCTTGGAGGCCTGGGTTTGGCTGCCCGGCTCCTGCTCCTGCCTGTGCCTCTTTGGTCTGCAGCTCGCTAGCCAAGGCAAGCAGAAGCTATGTATAGTTTTATGCCTCCAGCCGCCCAACACCCAAACAAAGACACCCCATTGTTCCCATCTGAGTGGATTTGTTTAGAGTGGGGAGATGCAGACCTGGGAGGGAAGAAAGGCAAAAGAGAAAACAGAAGTAAACACTTGCCAGAATTGAGATTCCTCTGCTAGAAGCTGAGGTTGTGACTAAACAGAGAAAAGCTAGGACCCAAGCATGCTGGAGAAGTCGCGAGGGGGTGAGAGAATCCCGCGGCCCGCTGCTTGCCCACAGCCACCCCTGCTCTTCCCGGCTTGGCTCCAAGGAGACCCTACCAATAGGTTTCCCTTTCCCTCCTCACTCTCTGAAAATAAAAGGGGATCGGTGCCCAAAAGGGGATCTGTCCCGTGGGTCTGGCCTTGGAAACCAGGAGAGCCCTTTGCAGAAAGCTGCCCTATGACCTGCGTTCCCTGGACCTGGAATCCTTTGATGTCCACGGAGGGCAGTCACGGAGGCTGCCACAGAGGCCTTCCAGAGGGGCGGGTTCGCAGGCCACCCAGGCCCTTTGTAGAACCTGAGCTCACTCCAGATTGACGGGCCAGGAATCCTGTGGCCACATCCCTTGTCCACGTCTGATTATTGATCTTGCTGAATGAAACCTCAACTAGTTCTATTTGAATCATTTATTTATTTATTTATTTATTTATTTATTTGGCACTGGGACTCATCTTAGGACCTAGCGCTTGCCAAGCCTGCGAGGTGCGGCTGAGTTCCCCTATCTAAGTTTGGGAAAGGAATCTGAGCCCCAGCACCCCAAAGGGCAATCAAGTGCGGGCAGCCGATGGAATGTGTCTTCTGAGGCTCTCCCCAGGACGACCTGCTTGGTTTCCTTAATTGGTTGTCTCTGCCTGTGGATGGCATTTCTCAAATGGTCCCCCCGGAGCCAGTGTTTTAATTAAAGTTCTAATGTATTGTCAAGTTGGGAATTGGGGCCTTGTTTGACTAAAGCAGGGGGCGTGAGCTGTCCTATAAAGCAAATTGCCCCTCCCCAGGGAACCTGAGCTCATCCCGGCGGGCTGGCTGCCTTTCTTTTCTCTGCTTTCTTTCTTTTATTGTCTAACACTTGTGGGACTCCTGGGAAATCAAGGGAAGTCTCCTTTTGAGGTCATAAAATTCTCTGTGATGTAACCGTGCGAAATTATGTAAATAAAGCTGCCCAGGCCTTCTGGAACACACAGAAAGCTGGATCCGCCCACGCCTCAGCCTGTAATTTGGGTAATGAGGGTCAGCCAGCGCAGGCTTCCCTTCTCAGGCCTTGCACCCCAGAAAAGGGTCCTATCAAGGTTATTAGAAATGTGGAGGATTTCTGAGGAGCGCCTACTTGATTATTTTCCCTCCTTCTTGCTCGTCCTTTTCCTCCTCCTCTTCTCCCCTTTAAGAGTGGCGCTGGAGCGGGGTCGGGAGGAGGCTTGCTCTCCCCCAGCCTGCCCCTGAGGGCGGGAGGTCAGTGTCGCTGCCAGCGTCTCTCGGGCTCCCAGGCACCCTGTTCCTTCCCGAGCTGGCCCGGCCAGAGCCAGAGGCAGTGCCAGGCTGGAGTGAAAGCAGAGGCCCCTCTGCGCCAGCCCTCCCTAGGTCGCCGCGTCTAGGGCGCTGCTCCTGGCGCGGGGCGAGGGCCCCCTGAGCTCCTCCTCGGGCCTCACCGGCTGTCCCCCACAGCCCAGGCGCAGTCCAGCCTCCTGGGGAAGTGTCGCCGGCCGCGCACGGCGTTCACCAGCCAGCAGCTGCTGGAGCTCGAGCACCAGTTCAAGCTCAACAAGTACCTGTCGAGGCCCAAGCGCTTCGAGGTGGCGACTTCGCTCATGCTCACGGAGACCCAGGTGCGCCGCGCCCGAGGCTTTGCGCTCACCGCCCCGCGGGGCCGGGCGCGGGGGCTCCAGGCTGTGGGTGCACACGGAGGCTCCGGGCGGGTTCGCAGCCGGCGCCTGGACCCTTGTGGGCACCCGGGCGTCCGGTGCAGTAGGCTGGGCAGGGACAGGGTGACCCTCCTGTCTAAGGCAGGCTCCCTCCGCCGGGTCACCCGGGCAGATTTTGTTCCTGCGGGAGAGGAGGAGGGATGCCCGGACTGAGCGAGCCAGGCGCCCGGCCTGTCTGCGGGCGGCCGCGAGGGTGGACCTCCGGGGACAGCCTCTGCTCAGGCTGCTGCTTGTGCCCTCAGGTTAAGATCTGGTTCCAGAACCGGCGGATGAAGTGGAAGCGCAGCAAGAAGGCCAAGGAGCAGGCGGCGCAGGAGGCCGAGAAGCAGAAGGGCGGCCCGGGCGTGGGCGCGGAGGACCGGGCGGAGGAGGAGCTGCTGAGGCCGCCCGCGCCCGGGGACAAGGGCGGCGGCCGCCGCCTGCGGGACTTGAGGGACAGTGACCCCGAGGAGGAGGAGGACGACGACGAGGACGCCTTCCCCTACAGCAACGGCGCGGGCGCCCTGGCCGCCCCGTCCGACTGCTCCTCGGAGGATGAGTGTGCCCCGCCGCAGTAGGGTTCCCGCCAGCGCCGGGGCGGCCGGAGGGACGCCCGGGCTCGGCGCCTTAACCCCGCTGAGGCGCTGGCGGAGGCTCGCGCCGCCGAGCTCCTGCTGTCCCGCGCCCTATTCCGCACTGGCGGCAACGACAGTGTTAAAGTGACCTCTGAAACTTGAACCTTCTCTGGAAATGCCATTCTCGGTACAAAAGAAAAAGGGTTTTATGCTTCTATCTTAGGGGGTAAAATGTATGTCATGAGCGTTCAGACTGCTGAAAATCTCAAAACTGTACTGTCTTTATTTTTGTATATTGTATTTATATATAAAGAAAGAAATGTCTACTTATGCATGCTAAATTATTATTTAGTTTCTCCCATCGCCCAGGTGGAATGTAAAATAAATGGATTTTTTACTGGATGCAAGTGCAAATTTTCTGCAGGTGTGTGAGGCAGCTTTTTTTGTTTTTGTTTTTGAGGCAGCTTTTTGATTTTTGATTTGATTTTCGATTTTCCTTCGGTGAAAGGACTTGCAGAGGGTCTTGTTGTGGGACCCTTTGCTTCTGCGCCCCTGGTGAAACCTGACTCTCGCAGTTGGGGGTCGCAGGTGCCAAGCATTGGTTAAAGAAAAAAAATCCCCCACCTGGGGTCAGGTGTCCGTGCTGGGACAGGCCCCTGGGCTTTCCGCAACTCAGCCCATTTCTTTTCCTCCTTCCTTGTCGGGTCTTCTTGCTTCACCAACCGTCCAGGGTGGAAGAAACATTTGAACGTTTCAGGAAATAAACTCTGCCGAGAGCGTCTGCGCTCCCATGCCCTCAGGATCTGCTCACACGCAGTGCCCGAATGCACGGAGTGAGTGTGGTGGGACTTCTTTCTCTTCTGAGACAAAACTCTCTGTGTACCAGGCTGGTCTGAAGATCGCAGGCAGGGTGCAGGAAGGCTGCTCTGTGGGGCTGGGGGTTAATGAGCCTTGCACACCATCAGTGCCAGATGGCCAGTCCGCCGTGGGCTGGGCCTCCTCACCTGGAACTGCTCCTGCTCTCCATCACTGGCCAGTGGCCCATCCTGGGCCCAGCTGGAGACACAGGGGTCCGAAGGACCACTCCTGAGGTTCCTGCCCTTCCTCCTGTTGGCACTTTCCCAGCAGCATCCTTGGCTCCCCACCTGCTCCGCCTGCCACCAACGAATGAGTCCAGCGGGCATCTCATGGGGTGACTGTGGGGGCAAACAGGGCACCCTTCACCTCTAGCTGGGAGAGCAAGGCCCTCCCTGGCAGCTCGCTATCTTCCTGGGGCTCACTGCTTAAAACCCAAGCCAGTGAGGTGGGGGTAGGAGCTGGGAGCCAGGCTGACTGCCTGGCTGCTGGGCAGGTAGGGCAGGTTCGGAACCACAGGAAGGGAAAGGGCAGGAGAGAGTGGGAAAGTCAGAGAGGGAGGGAGAAGGGAAGACAGATGCGGGGCGCAAGGGCTGAAGCGAAGCTGCCGCATCTCTTGCTAATTTCTAACCTGGTGCAGTTCAGCCTGCAGCAATAGCTTCCTGGCAGGCCTGCATCTGGGGTTATTTGCTCCAGAGCTCAGCCAACCTGGCCTCACCTGGGCAGTAGGGAAGCGTGCCAGGCCTGGGGAGGGGTGTTGTGGCCCCCTGCCAGGCCCCAGTGAGTCTGCCCCCACCTCAGGGCACAACACAGACTTCCCTGGGCAGGGGAAGGGGGAACACTGAGAGCACACGGCTGAGCCCCAGGCTCCAGGCCTGCCAGCAAGGCCCAGGTCTGGCGCAGGCGCGTGACCGCCGCTGGCCCCAGCATCTCCAGCCAGACGCTTAATCGCAGCAGAATTCATCTCACTAATAAATTTAATGATCAATTCGTTCTTGTCATAGCAGCTCTTCCCCAAATCAATTATAGCAAATTTAAATATAATCACTGGCTCATCCTCACCCACTCCGGGGCGCCTCGAACCATTCATTCTGCCTAATGAGTGGTCACCAGTCACCTTAGCCCAGGCCGGGTGGGCCTCAGGGTAGGGGTCAGTGTGGCCCCAACAGCCGCTCCCCAGGAGGCCCCTCACCTGAACACCAGCAGGTGCTTGCACCGCCTGGGTCCTGTGACCACAGGACTGTGACAGTGAAAGCAGGACTGGGCCCTCATACTGGCCCCACCCGCAGCAACTGCCCAGCCCCACCCTCCCAGGGCACAGCGGATAGCCTAGAGGTTCTCGCAAAAGCAGGCCAGTAAGCGCCTTTTTGTGACAGGAGGAGGCAGAAACGCCTTTCCTGCCCTGGTGCAGACAAGCTCCACAGACAACGGGTCAGGAAGGCAGAAATTTGTTAAGGCTGGAAAGAAAAATAAAAGGGACTGACCTCTCCATGCTGGTCTCTGTCTTCCTGGTTGTCAGCTTGGACTCTTGGAAAGAGCAGCTCGTGAGATTCTGACTCAAAACCACAGACAACAAACTCAAAAGCAGACAAACAGGCTACTCAAATGCAAAAGCACCCATGCCACTGGGGTCTTCCTGGGAAGGAGAAGCGTGTGCCAACCACCTTCATCTAGTGGTGGTTAGTGCCCAGAACACACGAAGAGCTCCTACCAGAACCCGGACGGAACATGTGCACCAAGGACCCAAGCAGACAGTTCTCCCGCGCAGACAGATGGCCAATGGGGACAGGGAAGGACAGCACCGCTAATCATCCGCTAAAAGCTTGCGCACCACCCCACAGGAAGCAGGAAAGGCCAGGCGCTGGCCTGGCTTGGGGACGCTGGAACCCTGCTTGTGTCCATGGTGGGTCTGGGAAGGGGTCTGGCTTTTCTGGGAGCAAGCTAGGAGGGTCTCAGTGTGGGAAGCAGGACTTCCTGGTTCTGCTGTGTACCCGAGAAAATTTGGAGCAGGACCTCAGAGAGACGCCTGCATATCCAGCTCCTCAGAGCATTCAAGTGGGCAACAGAGTGATCCTGAATGCCACAGGGACGAGGGGCAAGCAGAACATGTCACCTGGGTGTTACTCGGCCTCCACAGAAAGGCCATCCTGAGGAGGGACCGCTGGGCCTTTGCTAAGGGAAGCAGACCAGCAACAGAAGGAGAGCCTGCAGGACGACTCTTCCCTGAGGTACTGTTGGACTCCAGAGCTGAGCCCATAGAAGAGTATTAGGGACTGGGGGAAAGAGTGGGCGCTCCAGGTTGATGGGGATCGGCTGCGATTTGGGGCAACTGTCCTCGGCAGCCGTGAGCAGGCTCAGCAGCGCACTCGGCGCCGACAGCTTGCATCTGAGGGAGGCCTTTCTTTTCCATCCTCCTCCCCTCGGCTGTTTCCCCTTTCCTGGCTGCTGCACGCAATCGCCCCTGCACATTTCCTTCTTTTTTCTCTTCTTCCCTCTGCTCCCATCCAGGGAGACCTGCCGGCTAGGAGGGGGCAGCCCTGCCACGGACACCACACGCCCCCCAGGTGTCCCCCAGGTGTCCCTGTGGGCGCGGTCGGGGCGCGGGGCGGGGTGGGCGCGGGTATCAAAGTCCCCGCGAGCGGAGCACGGCTCCCTCCATAAAACTACTCCCGGGAGGTGTGACCGCCGAGAGTGCCCCCGACTACAAGGGCAAATATGTTTTTCAGATTTGGATTTTATGGTCGGATTAGAGTTTATTTTCTATAATAGGACACCTAATAAAAAGCGCAGAGCCGGCCGGGCCTCCAGCTGGTGGCCTCGTGTGACACTTTCACTTCGTAAATCACCCCAGGCGCCAGGTGCTCGGGCAGGGGACTGCAGTGGGGCCCGGGCTGGGGTCACTGCCGGGGCCGCACGCAGGCCGCTCAGCCCGATCCGCATTGTCCAGCACAGCGGGACAAAGGGTCCCCACCCGCCACCCCTGCCAGGCCTGGAGGGCGCGGTTTACCCAGCTGGGCAGGAACAAAGGCGCGCGCTTATCTCGGGGTCAGGTGGGGGGCGCTGGGCGGGAGCCCAGGTAGCTCACTACCTCGGTACTCCGGATGCCGGGACCACAGGAACCCGCAGGTCACTTTCCCAGGAGTGCAGCAGGGTGGAGGCCTGCGGGGAAAGAAAACGCAGCGGCTCCTGGGATGTCCTGTGGGCAGTTAGGGCCCCAGCGAGGTGGGGCGGCAAAGGAGAAATAGGGACTGTCCCCAGGTGGACATATCCTTGCTCCACCAGTTGTGGTCCTGGTACTGCTGCTGGATTTTGGTAGTCTTGGTCCGCTGATTTGCACCCTCGCTCCAGGCCTTAGTTCCGATCCTTTCCTGAAGCAGAGATAGAAGAGGAGGTACTGTCTCTGCAGGGCAGAGAACCTGCATCTGCCTCCGCTCACAGCCTGTCAGCTGAGCCGAGGGCTGGTGCTCTGCAGCCTCTGCTTCTCCTGGTCAGAGGCCTGCGCTGAGCAGCAGGTGCCCTGTGGAGACAGGGACACAAGCCAGGTCCCTTGGGTGCTGTGCCCACCCTGTGGAAGGCGACCTCAGAGGAAGGCTGTCTGTCCCCTGGCCGGAAGTGTGCCCTGACTCCCTGGTGCCAGCTGTGTGCCCCCTTCATCTATGACAAGGCAACTGATGACCCTAGTGATGGTCTCCAGCCTGGGCCCCTCACCTAGAGTGGAGATGGTGACACCACCCACACACTGGGCACGCAGCCAGGGTTTTAGGGCACTCACTGCAGCTGCACAAGCTCAGGCACTGGGGACAAATGCAAGCGAAGGACAAAATGTCTCTCTGTCCTGGGGTTGAGGCAGACATGCTGGCACAAGGGATGCGGACCCGCGGCTGTGGGCGCAGATGGCTCATTTAGCGCAGCCCCTCACAGGGCCCTGGGGTCGCCTCTGCTGTGGGATGCTGGAGGGGTGGAACCCAGGGCCAGCGGGCGAAGAGAGGACTGGAACCTGAAGGGGACACTCCTGTGGCCACATGCGATCCCTCACTCAGTTTTGCTCGGAAAGTCTCCCCAGAGAGAGGCTGTGTGGCAGAGGTCGCAGGCAGGGCTTCCAAATCTGATCCACAGCTTCATAATGAATCCGAAACAAAATGCAAAGATGTGCACATGGCTGACTTTTCTGAGGCATTTCCA